CAGGCTATAAAGGTTGCTTGATGAACAGAATAGGATGCAACATTTAAAGCCTGGAATATCTGGGAAGACTCGCATGGCTCCTTGTGTTACTGCTTCTGTGTCGAACACAACCTGCTGAGATCTTTCTCCACTTGCCTCTCACGGAGGAGTGGCGCCTTGACCTTGACGTTCGCTAAGTTGTCTCTTCTGGTTTACCTCTGGAACACACAGATGGATCACTTGGGAGGTGTTCATTAGTTTTAGTTGCAGAGGAAGCCAGAAACCTTTATTTGCTCAAGGAATTGTCTGACCATCATGACATCATAAGCCTTGGTAGGTATTTGATGAGTACTTGGGCAAATTTGCTTCATTTTTTTTTTAAGCCTCTTGATTTTGAAGGTTTGTATCATAGAAAGTCAGACACTGCATGTGTTATTTTCTCTGCTTTCTTTTGTATGTGAACATCATGTGGAACCTGACCCTAAGGAGGTGCCCTAACTCATCCGCTCCCTGCTCTGTATCTGATGAGCTCAGTCACTTGCTACCCTTCATCTGAGTGATGGCTCAGAAAGTTCTTTTCTGCCCGCCACGCTTAACAGAGATACAAGAGTTCTTCTTGCTAAAAGCTCTGCTCTTGTGGAATTGTTCCCCAGGATACATCGTGAATGCTCACTTGGAAAGAAGTTGGAGCAAGACAACGGGTGAGGCCAAAAAAAGAACAATCAGGGGCAAGTACGGGAATCCAGTACAGGAGTCCAGCTAGTCTGACAGTTTTAAGGAGTCCCTTGGCAAGCAGTCCCTGAGGAGGACACTGCTAGCAGAAGCGTCATCACAAAAGCACCACCACCTTCAAGAACCTTCGTCGATCCTTTTGTCCTTTCTGTCCCTTCTCATGTCAGTTATCAGCATGGCTTGTTGAAAACCAGTCTCCTTTCGCTACCTTGTGTCTCACTTATTCTTCAACACACTATGGTTCTGGCTTCTCACATCGCACCATAGAAAGTCCTCTGGCTAAAGGGACCAGGAACACTCTTTTGTAAAGGTCTTTAGTGGTTTACTTAATCTTTTACAATGTTTATCTTTATTTAAAAAAAAACATACAAGTAGCTTAAAATTCAAATAGTTCTACTGAGATTGCTGTGAGAGTAGTCTTCCCATCAGCACCCTGCCCTTCCCTGTCATTCCCCAGAT